GACTTCTACACAGGTTAACACCATCAAGAAATATGTTTGGTAAATAATCTCGGTTAGGTCTAACATTCCTTGTGGATCTCCCTCAACTTCTTATATATTGAAGCTTACGCGTCGGCGTTGGAAGGTGACCTGTGCCTGAGTGGGCAATCAGAATCGTCCTACCGTCTCCGATGGTTACGCTGTTAGGACTATAGTAAGGCATAGATTGTGAATTATTCTCAGCAAGATTTGTCATATGTGACAATGCTCCGGAGTCCAAGTACCAATTAGTCGTGGATGGTTCAGAGGTAGCTACCATGTCTTTGATTGAAGTGGATGAAGCGGACGACGGAGTGTAGTTGATATTTAATCTATGCCAATATACTAATCCAATATGACCTTTTTTGTTCAAATTTGACAGATAGGAACATGTTGCTGAAGAGATATGGTATTATTGTTTGTGTTTTGCAAAAAATGACCTCAATTGCATTTGTTTCTTCCTCTGGATGTGTACAAGGCTGTTTGAGATTTAGTGCTGGGGATGATTCTTGCGGCTTCGACATTTACCTGAATTTCTTCACCTATTAGAAGTGCGTACAGGTTATCAAGAATGATAAGTGTGAGCATTGTCCTTATCGAAGTCTTAAAAGCTTGATATGGTGGTTAAAGGCCGTTCAAGATGTACATAATTATGTCTTATGTGTCAACTGTCGATTCCGTTGCGACTATTTGATATACCAGCATCTTTATTTATGTAATATTGAGTGATTTGTGAAGATGGAGGCGAGGGTTCTGAGATTAGAAACCACAAATTTGAGGGCTGTAGGAATACTGGAGTTCTCCGTGACACTAGCAGATTGATCTCCTATTTGTGATGAAGCTGAATTGGCCATGGATGGTTCTCAGGATTGAGCCCGCTATGATACCATAAAGAACTACATAACTTCTCAAGAACATGAATAGAGAGAATAAGAGGAAGAAGTACCAGCATAAGAATGAATATATATAAAGAAAAGACTAAATGTATGTACACATGTACAGTTGTGATAGGTCAATATAATACAACAATTGATGTGGTATCATTGAGTTTTTCTTTTGTCTTATAATAGGATTTTCTCCACTAGTCAGTTCTTCCGAACCATCTTGCATTTTGTTTTATAAAGAATCTCTCATATTTCACTGGTTCAATGTTATTGTAGATCATTTGGAATTTGAATCATATTTGCCTAAGAGGTTTATTGTCATTTTGCTTTTTGTATAATAAACTCGTGAACTTTGAGAACTTCTTCAATGACACAGAATGATTACTGTTTGAAGCATCTCTATTTTGATATATTTATTTGATGCCATTCTGTCGTGTTTGAATCACTTAGGCAGAATGATTACTTAAAGTTTTTTAAATATAGCATAGTCGCTGAATTGAATTCACACAGGGGGCCCACAATGCATAAATGCATGACGGGAAAAAAAATGCTATTCAACATAAATATCTTCAGATTAAAATTGTCAAAATTGTTTGGATGAGTTTTTATCGATTTTTTTTTAGATGGCATATGTTGACCTGTAACCGACGACCGAACCGGCGCCACTACGCACACAATCTTGCCAAATGACGCTCTCATCTTGCGGGGAGGGGACGCTGGGAGGCTGTCGAAATTGAAACGAACAAAAAAAAAAAAGGTCGCCAAACAATCAAATTGTCACTTTAATTAATTATATATAATTTTAATTAAATTAAAAAAATGATGAGAACCATGCTTAAAGGAACAAGTGTAAACTGGAATTGAATATACATATCCTTGCATTAGATATACGCTTATGAGCCAAAAGATTAAGTTTCCAAAACATATAGATTTGATGCATCCCTTAGTCAATTTGAAATCATGTGTTTGCACTCATGTAAGTGCGATGCAAGATGCTTCAAAAGCTATTGTAATAGACCTTAAACATTCTAATGATTATTATATGCAATGGGTAATATATCTAGCCATTGGGAAGTTTAAATAGCTAGGATTTGGAAGAATTACGAGCGGGTGGAGTAATTTGATAATGATGATGATGTTAAGGTTGGGGAAAGATAAAGAGATATGAAATGCTATATATGCATTGATGAAATTTATGTGTTGGAAAATGATTATAAAAAGGTGGAATGCTTTAAACAAAGTGGTTCCGAAAAACTATAAAACAATGCTCGTTGTGAATCAAGAAAGCTTAATAAACCCCCCTATTTGCCAAGAATATGATAATCAAAATGCAATATGAAATATTTATCTATAAGCATATGCATACAAATTGCATAGCTATCCCATTGTATGTGTTGCACAATGGTCTAATGAATGACCACAAAGGTCAAAGAAAACTCTTTATCGGCTAAAAAACTCATGTGTCATTGTTTATTAAACACTAAAATTCACTTTGAATAGGAGTAGGGAATTCGTAGTGCTTACAATGATTATCCTACAGGTGGGGCAAGGAGCTCGTATCAAACAAACCAACCTATCCATGGATAGTAGCATGGATTCATAATGCATGCTGCAATTCACCTGTTAGCAGAAGCAAATAATTAATAGTGCATACAATATTTAGCTTACATACATCAATAGGTGATTCGTAGCAAGTCATTTTACTCACTCACAAGCAGGAACACGATCTCCTATTGCCTATTGAGCAGACATTCTCTAGGAATTGTGCTAAATAATAACTTATATAGGATACAAAATAAATTAAACAATATATCTCATATATATAACTAGAATCTAATGTATATATGCCAGTACCGGATCCGCAACATTTACATAAGCGGACATAAGACGTTCACACGTCCTTCAAAGATACCCGCGCATCTGTCAAATATTTGAAAGGTGTCAAAATGCATACACATACTTTTGGTCTTCAATTTTATTATGAATAATTTTATGTTTATTTTATTATATAAACTTAGAAATTGATGGATACAAATATCTTTAAAATTTATATTATTATTATAAAAATGAGTTGTGATTCTCTTCATATGAAATCTTTGTACAACATCTATAGTAATTAATTATCTTTGTCTTTGTAGGTGAAGCTACAATATCATTTGACAAAAACAACATCAAAGGATATAATGAAGCCATCTAAGTACGTAGTACTCTTCCTAAGCGTTGGAAACTCGTTGAAATTTATATAAATAGGAGCTATGTGCTGCGTTACACAGTTAAAAACAGATGCTGTAATTTCACTTACAACTAATTAACGTACAGCACTGAATAAAAAATTCCTTACACTTTGGACAGGAAAAATAAAAATTTCACCAAAGCAGTTGCGTTTAATCGCTTTTCCTTGCCGTTCAGAACAGCAGCTTCTGATTATCAATTGTATGAAGCAATACCAAAATTCTAAATAATACGGAAAGAAAGATGCCTGAAATTAGTATTTTTATTCCGTCAGGATACCTAACGTAGCTCTACGTCAGGTAGCCTATAATATGTTGCCACGTGCTCTTACTCTTTACCGTGCGGACCGACAACCCGACCCGGAACGGACCCGGGAGTTTGCGTAACTCGGTATTGCTAGGTATTGGTCGATTTTGCTCGACAAAAATGAAAAATACCATTCTGTGAAGAACAATACCGAGTAATACGTAGCAATACCGAGCAAATACCGAGCAATACGCGAACATAGTAATCCCGGATTCAATCCGAGTCGGGTCGTTGGGCAGCGCGGTAAAGAGTAAGAGCACGTGGCGACATATTATAGGCTACCCGACGTAGAGCTACATCATGTAACCTGACGGAATAAAAATTCCTGAAATTAAGGTTTCGTTTTACGCAATTTTTTTTATTGTTTCTTAAAGCAAATTTTTAACAAAAAAAAAAAATAAAATTTTTGTGCTAAAAATTACTTTAAGTAACAGTAAAAAAACAGCCCCAAACGAAGCCTAAATTAGTAGATACCATTTGATGAATTTACATATTATTATTATTATTTTAAATCAAAATGATCATAGATTTGATAAACAAAATAGATCGATGTCTTAATCATCATATAATGACCGCAAAAGCTTTAGAATAGGACTAATCTTTCTTCTCCATTCATTCTGATTTAGTGCTGCATTTGATGTTAAATTTTAGTTTATGTGGTTTGAGTTTTATTTAAAGTTAGATATTTGCTGACTGCCTCTCTCCACTCAATTTTGGTCACTAAAAATATCTTTCTTTTTCTGTTTTTTTAATCTTATATTTTAAATTTATTTCATATTGTGTGTGCATTTTCTCACTTAATTTCTCCAAGAAGAATGGGAGATTTACATAAAAAAAAAACTATAAATTATATATTTAACATCTAAATTTTACGATTTATATATCAATTACTCATGAGGTAACTCAATTAATCTCATTTCACGTATGTGAGGAAGACTTGCTTGATCTCAGTGGAGAAAGGCATGAAGGATTTGCGATTTGTGCAGTTCGTCTGTAATAAACAAGTAGAGATTCACGATGAGAACAATATCAAAGCTCTATAATGCAAAGAAGAGTAAAAGAAGTCATGATTAGCTATTGATTGAACTAGTGTGGTTTGCAACAATTCCAAAACCCTTGAAGGGCAAGAAGAGTTTAGTAAGGTTTCATTTGGGACGGCTTCTTTCGTGCTTCTTAAAGCAGCTTTTTAGTACAAAAATTAAATTTTTTGTGTTAAAAAATTGATTTAAAAAGCAGCAAAAAAGCCGTCCCAAAAATTGATGCGGTGGAAGACTATGGAGGAAGTTAACAGAAAGTTGATATTTTTTTATCTTACAAAAATTTTGAGTGTCATAGAATTTAGATAGATAATTTTGAATGCTATATATAAATAAATCTCTAAAAAGAAAATAACAAGGCTTAAAAATAAATACAAGGAAGAATAACAATAATAATTAATCATGAGTTTTTTTTTTATAACTTCAAAGAAAAAAATTCAAATACAAAAATTATGTAAATAAAAACACCAAACATGTTTGCTTCTCATATTTACTTATTATTTATTATTTTCTTTCAAATCTTCTATTGACAAGAAAGTTCAGAATTTGAAGTCTTCTTTCCATCGCATAAATATCTCTCCTCCCTTTCCATAGCCCTTCCTATAAGCTTTCTTCCCTTCCTTTTTCTCCATGGAGTTTCTCTGCACACCTTCTTTCCATGCAACTGAAAACTAGTTTCCAGTCTTCACATAAACAGCTTCATACATAGAAAGAGAGAGAGAGAGAGCTTCATCAAATCAAGCTATGGAGATTTTCTCGTATGAAAAGCTTTCCACTCAAACAAAAAAATATTTGAATGCAATTTCGAATTCGACAAAAACGGTCGTCTTCATCTTCGTTCTCCTCTTGATGGGAGCCTTCATCTCTTCTCGCTGGTTCGACACACATGTAAGTCAAGTTCTTCATCTTCTTTCCTTTCTTTCTTGTCATCCTCCATAGCCTAATACATATTACCTTAATCTATCCATGACCTCTACATGTTTCTTCATATTAAACTAAGTAAAAACCACTTGATATTTAAATTAGAAGCATATGAGTTTGTTATCTTCAAAATGGTAATTTATTAGAGTCAATACAAAATGATGTAAAATACTTGAAAAGATAAAAAAGGTTTGTGACATGATGCATGGTTGTTAGGGTTTGTTCTTGAAAAAAAATGGGTGAGGATATTCTCATCAAATTCTTTTTTTTTTTTTATGATGGAATTTAAAAATTTTGAATCTACTTTGAGATGAATGCAATATATATTTTTTATATATTGTGTTCATCAGCTCAAAGCAGATCCAAGTATTTTAAATTCCATCGTAATCTTTTTTGGATCAAGATATTCTTACTAAATTTTCCGTCTGTTCTTTCGGTTAGCTTGCTTAGATTTTTAAGAATATTTTGATCCGAAATACATCAAAATGAGCTTTCAAAGTCATTAAATTTGTGCATAGATTGGTGCAATTCAATACATCATTTACAACACCAACTTACCCAAAATATTTTAGATATTCTAAAAATTATAATTAATTTTCTCTTATTGGCTTAGACTTTAAATTTGTTGAATTTATGTGATTATAATTGGTATGACCATAAATTAACGTTTCACTATTTATAGTCTCTTGCATGACTTTTAGGTGTTAGGAAGATTAAATAATTAATGACTTTATAAAAATTAATTATAATTGTATAAGTAATTTATTTAAATTGAAAGTTTTTCTAATTGTTTTAATTTGGTACAATTATGATTAATTTTAAATTTGAAAAAAAAAATATTTATTCCTCATTTTCTGTTATTCAACTTAAAATTAATTTGTACAAAATCAGAGATATTTTGACTTTTAAAAATAATCATTAATTGCACTTTATACTGTTATAAATTTTTTTATTATTAAAACTGGAAAAATATTGTTAAAAAAATATTTTTATTATAAGAAGTGGTTAGTTTGACTTATTTTAACCTTACAAAAAATGAAACTTAATGCTATTAATAAATCATTAAATGGATGCTATAATTATTTTTGGCAATTTATTGGATAAATAAATTTCTTTGGCTTATAAGAAAAAAAGCGTCAATTTTTAATAAAACTTATCATGTTTGGAAGAATTAATATAGCAACAAATTTCTCAACTGATAATAAAAAATATTATCAGAAAAAATAGTCTTTAATCTTGACACGCTAAAAAGGGTAACAGAAATCTAAAAATGACCGGGTCTTGAGGAACTAAAAGTCAAACACAATAAATTTACCAAAATTTAAATTTTAATGTGTATATATATTCTTCCTTAAAATTTTAGGCTAGGGTTCTAATTTTCAACCCATTTTAATATTGGGTCATATTCGAGTTGATCTGCCAACTCAAAATTAATCCAAAATTTAACCATACATTTTAACATTCAAAATAGCTTATACATGCACATTTAAGCATTAAAAAGAGACAAATTAAAATTACTTTCTTAATATAAATGGGTTTGGGTTTGGGTCGGGTTAAATGTGTTTCCAATGAGTCTGATTGGAGTTCATGATTTGTCCAACGGGTAAAAATTATGTCAAAGAGGTTCAAAGCAGTTTATTTTGGGTTCGAACTTGAACCCGACCCAAAAATTCATTTTGACAACATTTGTTATTTTTTTTATTATTGTAGAAGAAATAAAGCTCCACTCGCTCAATTAACGGTTATATTATGTTGTTGTCATTGTAAATTTTACTATAATATGATTTTGAAGAATTGTAACCCTAATTTCTTTGAAATTACGAAAAAAATGATGCCCACTTTTAATAAAAATAAATAAAATATCTTAAAAATATACTGATATCTCTATAAGTAGAGCTTATTTGCGACTAAATGTACGTCGTACGTAAGGAATGTTGAAATTGATTTTTTATAAATTGGGCATTGAGCGATTCAATTTGACCATTAATTAACTTACACAAATTTTATTAATTTTCACATATGAAAGTTAAGAGGCTTCCATAAGATGAAATAGATTGACAAAGACATGTTAGATGGAAACATAGCACTCATACAGTGCCCATTCCTTTCTATTGAAAAGTAAAATGAGCTAAAAATCAATAATCCAATGTTGAATGGCTCCAAAGTCTCATTTGGAATTGGAAAAATACTTGAAAGTAATTGCCATTATCTTGTGGACCATTTTTTTTTCTTAATATTTTTTTTATTCAAGATAAAATCATGATCCTCTTAAGATAAAATTTTCTTGATTTAATTTAAATTCAATTTTTGATATGTAATGAAGTTTATTATTACAATTGTTTTGTTGATTTAAGTAATTAATTTTGATTATTTAAAAATTAGTAAATTAAAAGCTATTTTTAATTTATAATTTTGGTGATTGATTTTATCATGAATATAATATTTTTGAATGATTTTATGAACTATATAGTATCATGAATATTTTTTTAATTCATGAATTTTATGAATTTATAGTTGTTTTTCACTGTTGGATTATAGAATATTCAATATTTAGTTGCTTTGCAAGTTTAATGTAGCTCAAGATGTACTATTACTACTAATATTAACGGTTAGTTGCTTAATTTGAAATTTATGATTGTTCCTAGCAAGTTAGTATTTTGAATCTAATTACTAACTTTTATTATGACTCATGTAGTCTTTTTTGAGCAGAATGGGCAACTCGAGAGTTAAGTTTCCATGGAATACAACTCAACCCAATCAAAAGCCTAACTCACAACCTAATCTAAAGTCCAACCCAAATTCATCACCTTTCACCCTTATTTGCCCGACCAAAAATCCATCAAACACTTGCTCCTCTCGTCCCTCACCTTTCCTCAACACTTCTCTTTCCCCCGCCTCTCCACCCACCCCTCTCGCTTCGCTGAAACAAACTTGCCCTGATTACTTTCGATGGATTCACGAGGACCTTCGCCCTTGGGCTTCCACTGGCATTACACGAGAGATGCTAGGTCGGGCGGCACCCCATGCTGCCTTTCGCTTGATCATCGTCGATGGTCATCCTTACATTCACATATACCATCATGTGTACCAAACCCGTGACATCTTCACAATATGGGGCATTCTCCAACTCCTCCGTCGATACCCAGGGCGAGTGCCAGACCTAGATCTCATGTTTAATTGTGAAGACACACCGGTTGTTCATGCCATCAATGACCAATCCCCACCTCCGCTCTTTCGATATTGCAAGGATGATACTACATTAGATATTGTCTTTCCCGATTGGTCCTTTTGGGGTTGGTATGTAATATAAGCTATAGAAGTTTTTAAACTAAAGTATATAAATGCTTACTTTGATATATATGTATATAGGCCCGAAGTGAACATTATGCCATGGGAGAGGCAGGCAGACGAGCTAAGAGAGGCGAATGAGAGGCTACCATGGAGAAAGCGAGAGCCTTATGCATACTGGAAGGGAAACCCTGATGTGGCAAGGACTCGAGGAGACTTAATGAAGTGCAATGTAACCACGATGAATGATTGGGAGGCCAGGCTCTTTAGGGTGAATTGGGCTAAAGAAGGAAGACAAAAGTTCAAGGGTGCCAACTTAGCCAAACAATGCACTTACAGGTAAAGACATACTTTCCATCACTTATCACTATTGTACCATCAATCATTTGGCTATACATAAATAACTTCTTCCTCATATACTTATATTAATCTTCATCTTCAAATTCAACACAAGAAATATTTAGTGAGTTCAACATAATTGATAGCATAATCATTTTTGTATTCAACATAATATGATTATTTAAAATCTGCAAATTTTTATTTTATTTATAATAGGTAAAAATAAATTTGCTAATTTTATTTTATTTTTATATTTTAAGAAATTATTTTTTGCTGGCTAACTTTGATATTAATAACAGGTATAAAATTTATATAGAAGGAAATGCTTGGTCGGTGAGCGAGAAATATATCATAGGTTGCGACTCACCGACACTATACGTGCAGAGTAGGTTTCAAGATTTTGTTAGTCGTGGGCTAAGACCCGGCCTCCATTATTGGCCAATTCCGCAGGACGATAAGTGTCGGGCCATTAAACAGGCTGTCGAGTGGGGAAACGCCCATCCCTTAGAGGTTAGTATTAAATATAAAACTTTAGCTGTTAGATATGTAAATTCATAAATATTTTGTGTTATGCATGTACATCCCTCATATATACATACATACATACATACACATAGGTATATATATACTCTAACAAAAACATAATTTCCCAATCAAAATTAACAGATGGAAGCCATAGGGAAGGAAGGAAGCAGCTTCATCCATGACCAACTTCACATGAACATTGTATATGACTACATGCTTCATCTTCTAACAGAATACTCAAAGCTCCTAACTTTCAAACCCACAAAACCAGAAGAAGCCATGGATCTCTGCTTGGAGTCTGTAGCTTGTCCTTTTCAAGGAAAGATTAGAGATTCCCTCATGGAATCCATGTCCATGGAAGCCACCAATGATTCAGAGCCCTGTAGTCTGCCTTCTGCATTTGGACCATCAGAGCTCAAAGAGCTTCTAATGGAGAAAACCAGTGATGGAACAAAGAAGGTGGTGGAGAGTATAATTATGAAGAGTAATGGAGGGGATAGATCAGATGCTAATTATGAGATAATCAAAGTGTTTTTGTTATTTGGACTTTACTTAGTTTTTAATTTTTTTGTTTAGATTTCTTTTTAATTATCTTACTGTGTTTAACAGTTTGTAGGTGTTTTATACAGTTTAGAAAATAATTAAGCTGATATCGATCGATTATGTATAAGAAGCAATACTAAATTTGGTTGTTTGATAAAAATTGGAGTTTGGCCTTTTTTTCTTAATTGTGCAATTAATTATTTAATAAAACCATTCAAAATTAGAAAATAAATATAATCCTAATTAAAAATTAATTTTGTTAATTAGGACACATATTAAGGCTTCATTTGGGACGGATAACTTTTTAGTAAAAAATTAAAAAAAAAATTACTAAAAATTTGTTTTAAATAGCAATAATAAAACTATCACGAAGCCTAAAATTTAAAAACATAAGATATATATATAAATATAAATTTAAATGGAATAATGATCACAAGATTACAAAATTTTGTTTTTAAAGAAAAATGCAAATTTTTTAAATAAAAAAAATAAATATTGGTGGGTTTGTGGTGCGGGCCACAGGCCCACAGCCATCTTATCATAGTGATATAGGAACAATGCTAACTTCGGCCCATTTGGTGACCAAATATAGAAGAGTTATGATCAACGTAATTTATATCAAAATAATTTGATGATTTTGCACATATATCAAATCTTATGCTTTTGTCAATTACAAAGTTTTCTAACTTTTTTATGATAAAATTGAATAAGCAGGTAGATAAGTAAATTTTTAAAAGATAGATAAATATCTTTATTTTTTTAATTTTTTATTTATTTTTTAATTATTTTTTTCTTTTTTTATACCTTTATAAATTTTTTTTTCTTCTTAAGACGTAGCATATTTGTCGGGTGAAGGTTTAGAATTTAGAACAAAAGAATTCAAGTTTATCTTCTTCTGTTTCTTTTTCTCTTCTTGCTTGGGTCCCCTCTCATCACAAATAAGATGTCTATTTATAATTTTTAGAGTGATATGACCAGTATATAATAGTAAAATCAAGAGTAAATTTGGAGTGCTTTGAATGGACGACCGATGTTGAATCCCTTGATTGTGGACCATTTGTTGGGCATTTGAATGTGTTATTGATATTGGAATTCAGTGATTATGGGCTCGTTTGATTGGTCTCGTCGAGCTGCTGAATTCGACTATTTTTTTTTTCCAAAAAGATATTTCATTAAATAAAAAAATAGTACAAGATAGGCTCAAACACATAAGGAGCCAGAAATAAGAAAAGGGCAGTTAAAGTACATAATCGTAAGCGTCAGACCAAACAGTTTTGTATTAGGACAAACTTTTAATCGGAATATTATTTTTGCTATATATGTATGCTGAAAGTCGCATAACAAAAGAGAGAGAATTTAGCATTTTAATTTTGATTTAGGATGGTTTTTTTATTATTTTTTAAGCAACTTTTTAATACAAAAATTTTTTTGTTTAAATTTTTTTTCTTTACTAAAAATATGTTTTAGAGAGCATTAAAAAAGGCTTCCTATTCATCCCAAAGGAAGCCTTTTTTTGTACTAAAAATATGTTCATAAGAGACCAATATTTTTACGTGAAAATTTCCAGAAAGGAGAAAAATCACAGAGCCTAGTCCAATTTGAATGAATTCACTAATTTTTGTGGTTAATTATAAATAAGGCCCTTCTTTAGGGAGAAAGCATTGGCTCGATGCAGCAAATATGCATCATATATGATGCACTACATGATGGGAGTTCGAAGAATCAATGTTGATAGGTTCGATTGATCGGCATGATCATATTAGTTGGTGAGCGATGTAGAATAAATATTTCTTGTGATAACTTATAGTACTAAAAAACAATACTATTTAATATGATAATAGATGCGTCGAATTGGCAAGTAGAAGTCCATTTCTTCTCAAGAAAGCGATTCAATATGAAATAAGGGGGGAGGTTTTGGGTGAGCAGCACGTGATATAAATTCATATCATAAATATAAGACAAAAAAATTTTTTGTATTAGGGCAAACTCTTAATTTGAATATTATTTTTGCTATGTATGCTGAAAGTGGCATAACAAAAGAGAGAAAGAATTTACCATTTTATTTATTTATTTTGGGAATGGGGTATTCACCCGCTCTCATTCTCGAAAGGATGCTCACTATCCCTCGATAGATGAGATTGCAAATCTATCCCTCGATAGATGAGATTGCAAATCATCCTTGGAAATAACAGAGATAGGAACATTAAAATACAACTTATTAAAACTATTAGATAAAGGATCATCACCATCAGAAATTAAGAGGCCAAAAAGGAGCAGAATTACGCAAATCATTATTCGGCTTAATAATATGAGCAGTCCTAACACCACCAACAGGCGGGGTAGCACCCCCACCCTCTAAACAAACATAAGGAACAACATCAGTCGCAAAAACAACGTCGCAATGATCATCACCAGAGGGAACAACGTCCCCCGAAACCACATTATTATCCAACAAAACACCCGCATCCGGCACAACTACCACACAGGAGGGGCCAGCTACTAGGACAGTACCACAAGAATTTTCATTCACATTATCATTCATTTCAGCACAAAGGGTGCTTCTAGGCGGCTTAAAAGGAGCCACAAGAAGTTCCATCCCCATACGAACAGAAACACCACAGGCTAAACCAGAGTCCAAAGTCATTGTATTAACCCCCAAATAATCATCAACACCCCCAAATACATGATCAATGTAACTCGAATTTAGAGCAATAATAGACCCCTCCTGACCATCCAAAGACACACACACATTGGATTAACACCCCCAACGACAAGGACAGAATTATCACAGACTGCATGAAGAGAGGGTTTGATTAGAGCCGCTCAATTCGACTATAAGCATTCACGTTTGGTAATCCAAATTATGGTTTGAACCTTCCAAATATGCTTTGGGTCTTTGATTTGAACTCATTTAGGTTCGAATTGAGTCGAATTTGATGTCGTTGGGTTCGTATTTTCGAGACGTTCAGTTCATCTATAAGTTTGCTGAAATCAGAGCCCAGTCGGTCTTCGATTTAATTTTTGAAATTTTCAACTTGATTTTTCCTCGAAATTCATGTCAGGTCAAGATAATTTTTTGATGATATATCAAGCGCATTCTAATGAATACATCAAAAAGTTAAGCATTTTGGTTAGAATACGCAAAACTATTTCTGTCATTTGCTACATATTAAATTATTCGTTAATCTCACTCCTTTTTATTTAATTAAACTTAATATAAATTTTATTTAAAAGAATGAAAAATGAGAGCTGGCGTGTGGAGCTCGTCAACTTTAAGAAATTTTAGATTTATATTTGTGGCCTTAAATGTATGGGCCCCCACTGGCCCATCAATTTAGAGGTTCTTTATATTCCCAACAAATTAATATAATCAAAATAATATAAGAGATTATATGTATTGTTTGTGAAACTTTTATGGAGATTGGGTTGGTTTTATGCGGTGGGGGTATGTATGTAGGTTTAGAAAGGGGTGTGAATATTTGATCCGATCCGAATCTGATCCAAAAATTTTGGGTTCGAGTTAACTCGTACTCGAACTGGGCCGGGTTCGGGATAGGGATTTAGACCCGTTTGTAAAATCGGGTCAGATTCGGGTTGACCCCGAAATCAAAAATCAACCTAATTTGACATGTTTTTAATTGATTTAGAAGTGTTTTAGAAGATTATTTTGAAATAAGTAAATGCTATTTGTTTTAAATTGATTTAGGTAAGTTTTACCTTAATTTTATTTATGTTTAAATAAATCGAATTAAATAAAAATATTTTAGTAAAACATAAAAGAAGCGGGTGGGGTTTGGGTTGATGCGGACCCGAAGCGGGTCGTCGAGTTCAAAAAATATAACCGTTTGCAAAAATAGGTCGGGCTCGATCAGGTTAAAAAGTACCGGGTTAGATTCGGGTTCGACTAGAAACCCGTTTTTAACAGTTCTAGGCTTAGGCGGCTAAAACTGGAAAGTTGATCTGGTGAAATCATGGCCGTAGAAATTGTTTGATTTTCGTAGATAGATCCAACGATCGTAAAAGGTAGAAGCCCAAAAGCTGGAAGAAAAAGTCAAAGCTCGCGTGACGATTGGACCGCCGAATTGAAAAAGAAACTAATAAAAAATTGCGCTAAGATTTTGGTTTTGGCTCATTTCTTGGATGAAGTTGGAACCATATAAAAATTATGAATGGAACTCTCAAGCAACCAAATTCGAGTTGTCTTTAATCAATATGATAAATATTACTAATAAATTTATTGTTGCGATAGAAAATTTATGTTAGTAGAAAATGAGAGTTTAACGTCTTAATTTATAAGAAGGTTAAGTATGCATACGATAAAAAAGGGCGCAAGAGATATTTTTTATTTGAGGAGATTTGAAACATTAAAGCTATCTTCAGGAGATCTTCGATGGTATATTCTGTCATTTTCATTTGAGGAGAGAAGATTAGAGATCAAAAAGTTAAACATAAATCTTGGTGTTGACATCAGAAGTTATAATTAATTGATACATATGTGTGATTAGGCTTTATGGACGATGGCGTGCGTTGGCACTGTTGACGACGACAAGCAATGAAGCTTGCGGGCTTCAGTGTTGGGGTTGATCATATGCATTTTTCTTATAGGAGATGACACACATCGATGTTGTTAGCAATGATAGGTAATGAAGTCAATGTGCTTAGACTTTTGTGTTCACGACTTGCATTAATCTAACAAGGGATGGTGCATGTCCATATTTTTGGTGATAATATACATCAATATGTATGTCAATGATGTGTATCGATCTTATAAGTGATTATGTATGTTGAATTTGCTGTCAGTGGTGAGATCTAAAGTTGGTGGGTGCCAGTGTGTGTGTCAATGATATGCAATGGTCTTATAGGAAGTATTGTATGTTGTTGATATCAACGATGAAGGATAAGGAAGTCATTGTTCCACAACATGCATCAGCTTTATTGTTAATAAGGGTATTGTTGTTATTGGTGGTAGTAGGCAAACATGTCAAGGAGCATCCTTATATGTGTCTACGACTTGCATCAAATATACAGGCGATGGTGTGCATCAACATCAATGGCAATGATGGGAAATAAAATTCCCTTACGTGTAGATATTAGTGCCAATGATGTAAAATTTTCTTATAAGCAATAAATTATGTTGACTTTAATAGCAATGGTGGGTGATGGCATCAACGCGTATACAGTTTTTTGTCTACTCACATGCCAATCTTATAGGCCATCGTGTATGCCAATATTATTAGAAATGACAAGCATTGGCATTTTCATCAAAAATGTGTATCAACTTTATAGGCAATGTCAATGTTATTATCAATGATAAGAAATGAAGTCGATGGGTGCTAGCATTTGTAGGTGATCACCTATAAGATCCCCATCAACCTTATAGGTGATGACATGTGTTAACGTTAATGGTGATGACAAGTAATGAAGCCAATAGGTGTTGGCATTTATCTTGATAGCATGCATCGGCCTTGTAGGTGGTGGTGTGAACACTATTTATTGCGACCAGCAGTGCAGAAATTGGAAGGTGTTGAAGTTGGTTTTAATGGCATGTGGTAATTTTATAGTTCATGGTGTTTATTGACATTATTGGCTATGGAGGCAATTAAAGTTTGTGTTAATAGCATGCATTGGCATTATAGGTGAAGACATGCATCAATGTTGTTAGGGATGCCATACAACGAAGTCAATAAACGCCGATTTTGTAACAGCCAGGATTTTGAATAATATAGATTTTTATATTTTTTAGAAAGCTGCATGGATCACTACGAGTTGTGCTTTAGGTGTAATGATGCTGAGAAGTGCCAGAGAGTGGCGCCTCAGCACCATAAGTCTTTGTTTTATAGTAACTCTAGAATCACATGCGACGAATCAATGCTGGGTCAATTTAGTGTCATGGCGCCACACACAAAAATGAGTTTTTATATATATTTAAAAGCCACTCGCTCCACTCTCCCCCTCGCTCGCTCGGCTTGCCCATGAAGGAAACAAAGAAGAAGAGAGGGGAAGGAGGGGAGATGAATGAGAAATCAGTTTTTGGGCTGCTGGTTTTTTTTGTCGCTTTTATGAAAATTACTCATATCATTGTAGGTGACTTAATCCTATTTTTATTTTCAAAGATTTTACTTTCTACTATTTAATTTCTCCCAAATTAATTTTATTATATTTTATTTAGATTTAATAAACTTCTACCATAAAAATTTTTGTATATCATAGTACTGATTATTTTGGATATTTTGATTGAATGATTTCATAATTTCACTGATTAAAACTATAGTTATTTCATTTTGTACAAATTGCACAGAATAATAATTTTGGCATTTTAATCTTATTATATTATTAATGCAAGAATTGTGAATGAATATGAGCACCACACAAGCTAGAACTCCTTATTTGGTATGATTTCTTGGATGATGGTTGGAAGGACTGTAGTTGGATGAAGGTGGTCGGTAGGAAATCCGACAATAATTAGTGGCCGGACGGAAGTCCATCGAAAGTCCAGTGACAATCATTGATCGGGCGGTTATCTGTTTTTTGTTTGTATACATGAGAAAAAAAATAAAATTGAGATGAATCGTACACATGAGAACCAACTTTTCTGTTTAGTAAGAGTTTCTTAAGATTTCTTTATTGATTTAGTTATTTCATTTGGAGAAAATCATTTTATGTTCATTGTGAAACCCTTGAAGTATAATGAAGTTAAACGTTTGAATGATGACATATTTTTCGGTTTAAGGATTGAAAATTAATAGAAATTTTAAAGTTAAGCGTGGTCGTATGTGAACATTCTTGGGATGTATAACCTCTTGATATCGTATCCGTTTCTAGCAATTATAGTCATTCTTGAAGTTAAGCGTGCTCGTATATGATCATTCTTTACAAATGAGGAATTTTGTTGCTAGAGATATCTCAGATTTCTATTCCTCTCCTCCCATATTTCTCTTTTTTCCTCCCCTTTGTAAAGAATGAGGGGCCTATTTATAGTTTTATAGAAGTGGTGCGATCTGTAAATATGGAGAAGATCAAGGGCATGTTCGATGTGGTTTGAATGGACTATCGATTTTGATTCCCTTGATTATGGATCGTTTATTGAGTATTTAAGTGCCTTAAAGGTGTCTGAATTCCTCGATCTTGAACTTGTTGGATTTGTCTCGTCAAGCCGCTCGATTTGACTATAAGCATGTTAAATTTGAAAATCATTTGATTGTCCAATTTATGATTTGAAACTTTCAAATGTGCTTATGGTCCTTGATTTAAATCCATTTGGGCTCAAATTGGAACAAATTTGATGTCATTAGGTTCATCTTTTTGAGACGTTCAGTTCGACTATAAGTTTGTTGAAATCGGAATTTGGATGGTCCCAAATTTAATTTCGGAAGTTTCCAATAAAAATTGGCTTCGAGATTTGGGACTGATCCGGAAATTTTTTTGATGATATATCATAAATAATTTTTTCATATTATCATAACTTATAATAATTTAACTTTTTCCCCTAATAAATAACTTATCTTCACTTTAAAATTAAGGGTTCATTTGGATCTTCTATAATTTTTTATAAAGATGATTGTAAATATGTTGTTGGGGAATTAACTTTTTTCAAAAGGTCCTATGTCCATCATAAATTTTTTTTTTAAGTCGAACAATAATATTTTAGAGCTATTATGTTCTTGCAGATCCGATTGTGAAAATTAGCTTTTGATTATGATCGTAAAATACCAAACATATTTTCTTAATATACATCAAAGTCAACAAAGGAAAAACCCTAATATTTGCTTTGAAGTCCTTTGTTTTTCACAAAAGGATGGCAAATCTGACTTTGATTGTCAATGGTATATTTTTAGAAGAAAGAAACTATGAGTTCTTCAATGATTGAGACCTACTTATTGGTTACCATAATTCCAAACTTGCCGGGAAGCTTCCCACAAAGGTTCAATAGTTGGGAAAATTGTTACGTCTGGTTTCCGGATTCTTCCAGACACCAATCCAGACGCGCCATGTCACCCAGATACACCCGGGGCCCAATGTATCTGGGTGGTGTGGCACGTCTGAATTGGTGTCCGGACGGTCCGATCACCAGACTTAATAATTCGCCTGCCATGATCCGAGAACTTATCAAACTATTTAAAAAAAAAAGTTTATTTTTCTTAGAAAAAAATATATAATTTTGTCACACTTGTGGCCAATGGGACCCAAGTAGCATATCATAGATGGCCATGAATAAGGGTGATATATATAAGTTAAAATGCACCGTCAGGTGCAAATAAGAGATCCATGAGTGTCTTTGCTAGCTACGTCACTCTCCATTCCCCTCCTGATTATAATTAACATCAACTTTCTAATATTTAATATAAAATCATTTCTTAAACATTTATTATAGACTTAAACGATCTAAACATTAAAATTGGATTATTGGTTGGATCGTTGGCTCTTTCTTTGAGAAAACAAAATCATATATTGATGTAAAATCTATCAACATATACTTACAAACCGTCTAATTTATATTGAGATTAATACAAATCCATCTTAAAGCTTTTTTTATCATAATATCTTACAAGCATTATTATTTTTAATTTTTTCTATGTCCGCTTTCAAGCTATTCCTATAACTTCTAAGCCTTCTTCTTGTTTAGCAATATAACCGATCGAAATGAGCCGAACAATTTAATTAAGCTTAAAGGTAAAAGCTTAAGCCCCGACCTTGGTAGCTTTCGCCTGAGCCACAAATTGCTCGGCCACCATCCGCCGCTGGATCTTACCGGTCGCCGTCTTCGGTAGCGACTCCGTCACAAAAAATTTCTTCGGTACTTTGAATGATGCCAGATTTTTCTTGCAGTAACTCTTCATCTCCTCCACATCAATCTCTGTCCCTTCTCTCGGAATCACAGCACAGTTTATCTGCAAGAGGACAATCATCGTTAGGCATTATTTCCCAATCCAGTTGTAATTCACTAAGAATTGAGGAGCAATGAGAATTTTATTCCTAATTATTTTAATTTTGATGTCATAAGAAAAACAATTTTCATTAAATTTATCTAAATTTTTTATAAAAATACAATTTATTTTAAAAATAAATGCAAGATTTTTTTTTGGAACAGAGATGCTTTACCTCCTCGCCGTACTTGTCATCAGGAACGCCGAAGGCCACCGCCTGTGAGACTCCCGGGTGGGCTAGCAACACGGCATCAACCTCAATAGGCGAAATCTTTTCACCTGCCACAAAACCAAATCAAGCGTTAATTTCTAATCAAACTGAAATTATTTCCCAAATTGAATCGCGTAAGGGCTTCACCTCCTCGGTTGATGAGCTCCTTGATGCGGCCGACAAGGTGAAGATACCCATCATCGTCAACGAAACCAATATCGCCAGTGTGAAACCAACCGTGCAAGAAAGCGGCCTGGTTCACCTCCGTGTTATTCTTATACCCCTTGGTCACGTTCGGTCCTCTGATGCAGACCTCACCAGGAAATCCTGGCGGCCGAACAGCACCGGCCTCGTCGAGAATTGCCAATTCTTGACCGACTGGCCGTCCCACAGAACCGGGTTTGTGTGGACCGTCTTCTGGCAGTGGATTCGTGCACATTAGATGCGAGGCTTCCGTCATCGCGTACGCCTCCAGTACCGGCGCTCCAAAAGTAGCCTCTAAATGCGAGAAAACCGCCGGAGCTAGCGACGCGCTGCAGCTGCGGATGAACCGGAGCGGCGGGTATGGCGCCTCCGATGCTGAGGCATGGCGGTCAAGTAGGATCTGGTGAAGGGTGGGAACCGCAGTGTACCAGGTGGCGCCGGCTGCCCGCATGTCTGTCCAGAAGGTCGAAGCAGAGAATCGTCCAACGGCCGGCAGAGCCACGGCAGCACCGGCTGTGAGCGAGCTGAGGAGCCCGGCGAGGAGACCGTGTACGTGGAAGAGGGGGAGAACGATGAGGGTTGAGTCGGTTTCCGTGATGCGGTAGACTGATCGGATGTTCTTGACCGAAGCGGCGAGGTTTTGCTGTGTGAGGGGAACCCCCTTCGGCCGGCTTGTTGTGCCGGAGGTGTGCAGGAAAAGTGCAACGTCGGAGGTCTCGTTGGCGATTGTAGAAACCGGCGATGGATAATCGTCTGTTACGACCGCTGTGCCCGGCAGTCCGTCTATCTGCACGACGCTGGAGGCGTCGGGCAGATCGGCTGTGGCGTGGGGTAAGCCAAGCTTGGCCGCGGCATTAACCGCCGCAGCATTCCCCTGCTTATTCGTGAGGAGAAGCTTCGATTCAGAGTCGGAGAGGTAGAACTCGAACTCCTCCTGAGTATACGAAGAATTGAGCGGCGCGGCCGTCGCGCGCGATCTGATAACCGCCAAAAACATAATCACGAACTGCACAAATCGATCGCGATCGATCATTGTAATAAATAAATCATCAGTCAATCGTTTAATTAACTTCCCGAATTAATTGGGTACGAAATTGAAGAACTAGATTAAGAATATAAATCTGACCTCAACGGTGTTGGGGAATGTGAGCGCGATAACATCTCCGGGGACCACACCGGCGGCGATTAGGCTTGAGGCGGCGGAGTCGATTAAGCTGTCGAGGCGAGAGTACGTGATTTCAATCTTGCCGGGAACGGATAGCGATCGCCGAGATGGGAATTTTCTGGCGGCTAGTTTTAGGTCTCCGGTGAGGGTTTGTTCTGCCATGATCGAAGGAAAACCAAGTTACAACAAAATACGAGGCCGAAGAACGCGAAAGCTGTGGTTGGTTTTGGTTCGTATTTGGAGGGTGGGTGTTCGTTTTATACTGAGTCGAAGGGCCGTTTAGAATCTCGAGGGGCTGGGGGAGTGGGGAAGTTACCGACACGTGTCCAGATAAATTTACTTGGGATCAGTTAGCAAATTTAATAGATTTAATTGCATATAAAATTTTGTGACATCATCATTAAATTAAATAATATATGAAATTTTCTCTATTTCTGTATTTCAGCTAGGGGTGTCAATTTCAGGTCAAACTCGACCCGACTCGAATGACCCGATTCGAACATAAAACTCTAGTTTTCGGGTCCAAAAATGGGTTAAACTCCACTCTTTGGGTCAAAATCGGGTTCTCAGGTCAAAAACATGTCATTTTTGGGTCAATTTCGGGTTGATGAGTCAACCTGAGCCCGACCTGATTTTTAAAATAGTGATAAACCTTAAATTATCTATTGATGTTTATATGCCAAAAACATTTGCTATAATTTTGAAGGGATTCACTTCTAGACTAATTTGTGTCTGGCATGCTATCATTTTATTGCACATTGATGAATAATTCATTGAAAATTTGGCCAAAAAAATTTTCTAACACATATTTTTTTCCTAATTATTAAAAGCCCTTAATATGTTATAACTTAATCTTATAAGACTTAGACTAAACATGTCTTATCGTGTTGGCTTGAAATAGGCAAATCCTAAGATCTAAGTTTTGAATTTATTAAAAATTTTCTTCTAATACAATTTTAAAATAAATAACTAACCATAAAGCTACTAATAACATCAAGCACAATAAATAAATTCATCCAAAATTTTCATTTCCTTATCCAAATGTATATATAATAATTAAATCATAATATATGCCTACCAACTAAAGTAAAAAATAGAACCAACCATACTAGACAAGACTGTACAAAAATCAAAAGGAATGAGTACTACAACAAACTCATATCAGATCCTGACATTGTAACTTGACTGGTTCATTCCTTTCTCGAGACAGTAAAAAAAGAATGTGAACATATCTGTGAGCTAATATAGCTCAGCAGACCACATCAGAACAGAATATGCGTAAAACACCTTAATATGCGATGCAATTATTCAAATATGACTTATAAGCACCAAAATATGCCTTATAGGCACCGCAACAACTAATTTCTCTCACAACAAATCTCCTCAGAACTTTTATTTCAACCACTAAGATACATAATTAATTGCATTGCTATAATTAAAGAATAAGTGAACTAATTTCAATATTTCATAAAAAAATATATTATAATGATAGCCAACACAAAAACTATAGAACATAAATATAAAATATCAGAATTTAATCAAGTCACATGTGATTGTGTAAAATACTTTTTGAGACTTTAATTATATAACAATATTATTTTTTGAGTTCAGGATTATTTTTTAATCAATTAAAATAATGCTCAATTAAAAAAATCAGCTGTAAAATTTTTAGAAAATTATCAAAATATTCTTAATTGATCTCTTTACAGCATACATAAAGTTATATAATAAAAATTTTATGAGCGTAAAGTTAGAAAATAGAAATTTAATAAAAAATTTTGAAAAAATTTTGTTTTTGTTTTTGTTTTGTTTTTTTTTATTGAGATGGGCGAAATATCCCTGCCTCGAACCAAATAACTTTTAAAATTGGGCCAAAAGTAAAAAAAAAAAAAAAAAAAAAGATTAGAAGTGGCTCAAAATGGACTTTCTCACTCAAGGAATCCCTCTTCTTATTTCTCTAGCATCAATTGTCGAAACGGATCGAGTGAGATCAAATTGTAAATTCATGTATTTTATACATTAAAATTCAGTGTAGCGCTGTTGTGCCACACTGCACTAGCTTCAAAGAGCCCATAGCGCCACAACGCCACCCCCAACACCGCCGCGTTGAATTTATTTGTCAAAAACTCGAGAGCGCCACTTGCACGGAGCCGCCAAACCTAGTGTCGTGACGCCATAAGGGCAAAACTTCATATTTTACAAACATGCAAATATAATCCGTGGGACCCGCTTCGAAATACATGCACACTCTCACATAGTCACATGCATGCATCTAAAACTTTCATAGACACACGTAGAAGAATTCAAATGCAGAAATTTAACTCATCTTATTCATATCAGATCAGAACATGTTGAACTGAATACTAAATCTAAACAAGTTGCACAATATTTATAAATTTTTTATTAAAGAGAAAATCGTTCAAATTGACCAATTTACCAACATTCCTCATCTTTTAAATCAAATACTTCCAAAATTTTGACAATAAATTTATCAACTTGAGACAAAATGCCCTAATAATAACACATTATTGCTAATAACTTCCTCCTAATTTAGAAAGTAGATACCTACAATTTCAAATTATTTTCTTAAGTGGATTATTGTGATTGATTGTCTTACTTAATGACAAAATTTCATTGCAAGCCATTTTATATAAAGCATATTAAATATGAAAAAAAAAATCATAATTTCGTAATATAATAAATTTAAAATTTTTATTATAATTATTAATGTAGACCTCATTGCTGACAACTTCGAGAAGATTCGTCACCGACACGTGCCTTTCGTTGACGTATTTCCGTGTGGAAGATTCGTGCATCTTTGACAGGGTGACTTGTGGCTGCGATACGGGGGTTAACCGGCCAGGCCGGTTTGACCGATCCACCAGATGGCAACAGGTGATTTGTATGGGCTGAGAAAGGTCGGTTTTATGCGGTGGAGGTATGGGGGCTTAGTGGTCAATTGGTTTGGAGAAATCGAAGCCGTAGAAATGGCTTTCTTCGTGTAGATGCTTTTGATCGGACGGTTATGAAGAGGGAGGAGGTCATCGCAAAACATAAACTAATGGCCACGAAATATATAAGGACAAAATATTTTATGGTGGGATTGATTTAACTCACAAGAAATCCATTGGCACACAAAAAGAGGCAGAAAAAGCAAATAATCAGCAACATGATAACCATGATTGAGTTTTCTATCACAAAAATTATATATAAAAGTGCAGAGATTTTGTATATATGTCAGGAGTCGAAGAGACATCTATTCTTGACGGAGCCTATGGAACAAATTTTTTCTATTTACTGTTTTTTAGTATTTGGTTCATTGTTCCCTAACAATAAGACTTCTACACAACTTGTTTAATTATGATGGGGTAATTGCCTAAAGATCATAGTATTTTAAAACTTTTGGGGGGGGGGAGGCAATTGCCTAAAAACCCTTATAATAAAGACAAAAAATAGATGACGGAGAACAAATTACCTAAAAATTATATAATAATATATATTTTTTAAAAGGTAGATCCGCCGCTGACTCCATCATATGGACTAAAAGGTTAAGAAGATGTAATTCTTTATCTAACAAGTTAAGGGAGCCTTAAGCAAGTGATTAAGGAGGTCCAACGTACTCATGTACAAGCTAAGTGTCCACTCAGATATTATTACAAGAATCTTAGATTAAGGCGTTTCTCTTGAGGCTATATCAAAAGTAGGGCAATAATTTTCGTCTCCAAGCCCAAGCTGTTCATCCCAAAATAAGATTTTGTTTGGGACAATTTTTTTTTTTTTATAAAGTAATTTTTTTAACACACAAATTTCTAATTGAAAAAATTTTTATGCTAAAAAGTTATTTTAAAAAATAGTAAAAAAATTATACCAAACAAAATCTAAAAATGCTTGAAAATATTCAAAATATCACATACTTGATTTTTTTCGAAGAGAACATTTTAATAGAAATTTTCTAATACTAAAATATTTACTTTATAAAAAGGGCTTACAATCTAAAAAAGAAGTATCATACATCAAGAGTTAAATTTAACTAAAAATTCTTTGCCTAACTTCTTCCTTTCGTTTAAAACATTAAGCTCAGGCATCAGAGATTCATTTACAAAATGAAAAAAAAAAAATCGCAAAAAAATCTCCAGACTATTCATTTGTGGCCAATTTATTCCCAATATATCACATTGCTCCAATTTAATCTCTCGGCTATACAAATTGATCTGAAATGATATCTCATATCATAATTGTGATATAAAATTGATCCCGTTGTAATCCTACAGAGGAACTAATTCAATCCATTATAGATAATCGTAGGACTACATTCTAGCAATGTGATACTCTTAAGATTAAATTGGTCAAATACAAATAGTCGGAGGACTATTTTGAGATTTATCTCATTTACAAAATAATGGAAGAAGAATCTGCATGAAATATTATCATAATTGATATTTGTTGAATTAGTGTATAAACAATAAAACTCACATACAATAATAGTAAAATCTATAAACTATAAAATAGTACAATACAAAAGCCGATAAATTAGTATGATATTAAATCCATAAATCAATATTCTTATCATTATTATCAATCAATAAAGAGATTGTATAAAGCTATAAAATCAAATCATTTGTGAGGGCCGTTAAAATCATATCAAGACAATAAACTTATATAAGAGTGTACACATATTATCCAGTTATTCTATACCAATATTAAATCAATATCTTAATCACATGCTCAATATATGTTATATATAACATGCTCAATGTATATATATATATATATATCATGTTTTTATATCAATAAATAAATAATAGTGTTAATAACAAATTCATACAATAATATAATTAAATAATGTTTATATAACATTCATTTTAGTAGTTACACTAAACAAGTAAAAATTTTGGCTATCACGATGTTTTTCAGTATCAGTAAATATTGGCTCAGTAAATAGAGTTATCAATCTTTGCCCGTTGGCACATTAATTATCTCCTTATAACTCTTAATTAGTGTATCACGTGAATAAGTAGATGATAACATCAAACCATAGTATTTATAGGAAAGCCCGTCGACCTACCATCTTATATAGGTCAATTAATCTCCAACCAACGGGTCAACAAGTCTTTATTTGTATTTTACATGCACATTATTATCATAGTACTATAATCATAATTTCAATCACATATTCAAATGCATTTCCAATGTATAGTAACAAATAAAGCATAACTGAGATTAATTCAGAAAGTATCAAAATATCCTAACGATAGATAAAAGAAAATCCCACTGAGCAAAAATTCACATTTTAAAAATTTAACCAAATTACCGGATATTACATAAAATAGCATTCAAAAGCTTTAGTTGAACTAAATCACTATTTTTAAATGTCAAAATAAATTTCAGAGTAGGAAAAAATTATTCTATTTTCAAAATCTTCAGGTGAAAAATCTCAAATAAATATTCATAATATTTATGATCTCAATCTCTATAACATATAAAAAGTTATAATTTGAAAGTTTTATCAATACAAAATTATCCTCATTTTTTTATAACAAAAACACAAATTTAATAAAAAAAATATCAAAAATATAAATCTTTGAAATTAGAAATAGGATAAAGGTTTCTACAGCGAGATGAGCAAATCTTCCAACAAGCTCGATGGATGAAAGTCATTCCTGGACTTTCAAATACTAGCTTTTTTTCTCTCCTCTTTCTCTCTTAAATTTGTTTTTCATTTCTCTGTTGCCGAAAATGAGAAGGGATGAGAATTTAAAATTTTAGTGACTTATGATTCTGTTATTAAAATAATAATTTAATATTATATAATTAATTTAATAACACCTAAAAAAAGCATCATTAATTATGAACATTATATCATCATCAATCATCTCCAAGGACAAAATAAATACATTGTTCTGTTCACTCTAAAATAAGATTTTATTTGACACAGCTTTCTTATTATTTTATAAAACACATAAATTTTTAATTCAAAAATTTTTTATGCTAAAAAATTATTTTAAAAAATAATAATAATATTATAGTAAATAAAACCTAAAAATGTTTGAAATTTTCCAAAATATCAGACTTGGTTTTTTCTAAGAGAACAAATTTAATAGTAGTTTTCAAATATTAAAATATTTACTTTATAAAAAATGTCATACATCAAGGGTTAAATTTAAATTAAAAAAAAAAAAAAACTAAAAATCCTCTGGCTAACTTCTCCCTTACTTCTAAAACATTAAGCTCAGTCAAAAGAGATTAATTTACAAAACAGAAAAATCTAAAAATAAAAACCTCCAGATTATTCATGTGGCCAATTTATTCCCAAAATATCACATTTCTACAATTTAATCCTAAATCTATACAAATTGATCTAAAATGACATCTCATATTATAATTGTGATATAAAATTGATCCCATTGTAGTCAGACTTTATTTTGAACAACTTTTTTACTGCTTCTTGAAGCATCTTTTTAATACAAAAATTTTAATTTTTATAATAAAAAGATGCTTTAAGAAACAATAAAAAATTCATCCCAAACCAAGTCTTACAGAGGAACTAATTTGAATCCATTATTGATAATCATAGGACTACATTCTAGCAACGTGATACTCTAAAGATTAAATTGGTCAAATATTAATAGTCGGAGGATTATTTTGAAATTTATCCCATTTACAAAATAATGGAAGAAGAATATGCATGAAATATTACCAGAAGGCAAGTCTTATTAAAAAGAACCTGAATGATAGGGTCATATAAATACAATTAAAATCAAACCCTGAAGAACAAATACAGGTTAACATCAATATCAATGCCTTCACAATTGAGAAATAGCTAAACATTTTGAAATCTCTTCCATAGGCATCTTTGTTGCCACCATATAATACAAAACATAGTGTGCTCATAGAACATGACAGAAATTCCCTTCACCATTTCAATGATTGATGCCTGAAACTGATGGATTTAATCCTTCAAAAAATTGATGAGATGAACACTCTCCAAAAAAGCAATGAAATCCTCAAAATCTGGAAAGTTAATTCCATGTATGTGTTTCAATTATGCCATACTGTGTTGGTTTATTCTGATTTCTTCAGCGCGCAGAGCTTCCATTCTTTTTAGTTTCCAGGGAAGATCCTTCTTTGAGTGCTTCGCGAGCTTCATTCTCCATTCCGAGGGCGAAAAGAGAAGCAGCTTGAAGATAGAATGCAGTTGGCCAAGTTGGAGATATGACCAAGGCCTGCATTGCATCATTAAGTGCTTCTTGGGGTTTATCGCTCATCAAGTAAGAGAGACTGCGACGAGCAAAGACAGTTGGAGAAACCATGGTTCCGACATCGATGAACTGCGAAAGTTATGAAGTTGTGTGAGAAACTTGCATGTTGTTCATCTTTGCAAAAGAACTTGTACAAGAAATGGCACACTAAGTTCAATTCAAGCTTCTTAAAAACATAGCAAATTTACATAGGAATGTTATGCTATAGAAAAAAGTCTATTTTTAACTCAAGACACGTTAGATTTTGATTAGGTAAACCAATAAAAACATTCTCTCCGTCCCCTTTAAAAACTGGACCTCAAATGTATTTTTGCGCTGATTTTTTTGGGTGTATTAGTGAACAAATGCCTACAAAAAAAGGGCGCCAAGCAATAATTTGTGTTCCAATGCTTGCAAATACATGCAACAACAACAATAAAAACAACAATAAGCCTTTATCCTACTATGTGAGGTCGGCTGCATGAACCTTTTTTCTCCATTGTACTGTTAAGAGTCAAATTCTCATCTAAATCTAATAAAGAAATTTCATTTCTAATATTTTCTAACCAAGTTTTTTTAGATCTCCCTCTATCTTTCTTAACATACGTCAAATCTAATACATCTACTTTTCTAACATGATCATTAGAAGGCCGCCGTTTTATACGACCAAACCATCTAAGACAACTCTCTCTAATCTTATCTTCCACTGGAATACTCCAACCTTTTCATGTATATGCTCATTTCGTATCCTGTCTCTAAGAGTAAAGCCCTAATCGACCTGAGCATCCTCATCTCTACAATACTTAACTTAATATTATGCATCTCTTTTAATAGACAACATTCTGCACCATAAAGCATTGCAGGTCTTAATACACATTGATTAAAATGGCAATTACATGAATACTTCATATGGTGGATAAAGGTAATCTTCTTCTAGCGCTTTCTTATTAAGTTGTAGAAAAGCACTAGAGAGAGAGAAAACAATCTCATATCAATATAGAAATAACATTTGAGTTCTTAATATGGTAGTAGTGCAAGTTACATATCAACTTAAGCTTTTAGGATGATGAATGTCCATCCATAAGTTATTGAACTTGGACTCTTATATTTCACCCTCCTAATAAATGGTAATAAAATAGATGATATAAGTTGGATCAAGCATTCAATGTTGTTTGTGTCTCTCATTGTCTTTAAATGTTATATCATGATTAAGCAAGGTTCAAGAGCAAGTAAATCCAACCTACAAACTCCACCTAATAGAGTAGAATTTTGGTACATGTTATTTGATCGTGTTGAGAAACTTCTAGTCGAGAAAAAATGACGCCCAATGTAGACAACTCTCATGTTAATGGCCCTTAACTATTAGCTTACACTTCAGGTTTAATAGGTGTCCATCCACTAGTGCATCATTGTATTAGTAATTAGAACCTATAGTGTTCCACCCTCCTAAAAATAGTTTCAAGTCCTAACTACATAGGGGTAACATGAAAGCCAATGACTACATAGGTTCAAAACACTAGAAAAAAAAAATTGAATAATATTTTATAGATAAATATGACCACTTAAAATTTTTAAGAAAAAAAAAATCCTGGGAACTTGGGCTCCATTCGGTATTGGTTTTGAATTTTTGATGTAGTAATGGTGTACGATGTGCTAAATTGTTGAGTAAAATGAAAGATAATTTAGTAAAATTTTATCAATATTTCCTAATCTTGTTTGCTAAAAAATTCTTGTGGCACTAATATGAGCTATTTAATGCTAAAATTGATATTATTATGAATGTCATACAATTATAATAAAATATCATAATCTTAATTAATAATAAATAATAAAAATAATTAGTTAATTAATTAAAAACGAAAGCTAAAATTCATTAAAAGTTCTTCTAAGAAATTGTCTAAAATAATGTCCTAAGAATGCTGCATTTCAGCAGTTCATGCAACTAGATTTTTTTTTTCTCTCCAAGTTCATTAAAACACCAAAAATTTTCTGATGTTCAATGAAGCAGAAGCATGCAACAAAATTAAGCCAAATGTATCCTTAGAAATAAATATTAATGAAGAAATAAAAAATTGCAAAACTAAAAAAGTTAACCTGAGTGTAGCACTCAATTGCAGCATTTAAATCCTTATGCCGGAATGCAGTATCTCCCTTTTTCTTCGAGTTCAAAGTCTCTTGCATTTGATTTGTCCACATTTGAAAAGAAAGCTGAAAAGGGGGTTAAAAAAGAAGAAGAAATCATACAAGATGAAAACTGGCAATACCTCTTTCAGCATTGAACAATAAAAACTGGGAGATATACTATGTACAAAATCAAAAGGATGCTCCTCCCTATATATGTACGTTGAGGTCAACTCATCTAATGCTAAAGCTTGATCAACAACTTAGAATAACAAAAACATTATGAGATTTTTGGCCAAGTGTGAAGTTTTCGACTTTTCGGTTTGATAAAGAAAAGACAAATAGGTAATTTTCTAAACTAAAATGTCATAGATATTGTAAAAAACATGCTATACAGATCAAGAACTTGGCGCTACAAACAATTCTGAAAAAGTAGGGTAACCATAAAATACAATTTAAAACACACACAGGGTGGCTACATTTTATGCATTGATGATTAGTACACCTGAAAATCCAGAATAACAAAGGAAAAAATATTTTCATAAAAATTGCAGTTCTGCTCTCTCTACTGTCCAAAAGTAACATTTTTTAGCTCAAATATGGAAAACATCTTCATCAAAAAATTTCGGAAGAGTTCTAAATGCTGCTTTTGAGCATCTGCCTTCATCAATGCCAGTAGAGCTAAGTACTTCAACATTTCCCCTCTTTTCATAATAATTTCTCTTACTTGTTTATTTTTGTTAAGATTGCAATTAAAATTGTAATTGGCCACTCTCAATAAAGCGATATTTAGAGGGTGAGTGCAAGGGATGGAAATGCTACAAATTACAAATTACTAAAGAGTTCAACACACGGAGAAAAAAGGGACTAAAGTTTAAATAAATCTTCCAACCAAAATCTAAATCTGGTATTGTAGAATTTCTAGATCCTATTTAACATTTGATATAATAAAAAAGCAAGTGTAAATCATAATTAGATCTTCTAAATGAATTGCACGTTACTAACATAAAAAAAATTGACATCATTAACAGAGATTAAAACTGTATAAACATAGAATTGCTATGGTGTCACATCACTGAAGTTAAATGCATGCAACTCACTCAAATCTCAATTGACGGTGCAAAGAAAACCAAATCCATTAGAATTACAAAGAAAAAGGATGCACAAACATAGAAACATCTATGATATATCATAGATAAATAACAGGAAAAAGAGTTAAAACCTCATTTGCTGTTCCTTCATCATCTTTGTAGCCAATCTTTTCCAGTATCTCATGTATAGCTGTCAAATCCATTCGAAGGCAAGCCTCACCCAGCGGAGAAAGTGACAAAGACTCAATAGATGATTCATCTCCATGTGGCATATCCATCAAAACATACGAAGGAACCTATATCATATTTTTTTTATACACTTAGAAAATTCAAGAAGATTAAGACGCACAGAAAATTTAAGCAAGATTAGCTGCATTGCGTATGCATCACTTAAGCTTTTAGAATTGACAGCATAGCCATTAATATGATTAAGAAGACTAAACAATGCTGGGAGAAAGAAATAATGATGAAGTGGAGTACTCTTGACTGCTACTTTTCTTGCTCATGAAATTATTCACAGAACTCATACCAAGAAGCTTGGCAAATTTATATCTAAGGTGGATTTTGAAAAGGCTTTCTGCAGCTGTAATTGGAATTTCATTCTTGATATCCTTTAAGGGTAGATTTTACCCTCCACTCATAATTGCTGGGATTAATCATCACTAAACCTACCTCTCATCTCATTGTTAACGGTGAAGTGGAAAAGCAATTAAAGTGTTTTAAAGGTTGCTTCAATTAAAGTGTTTTAAAGGTTGCAGACAAAGCGAAAACCTATCTGCTTTTCTATTTAACATGGTGAATATTACACAGAAAAATTGTAAAATATACAATTTGTTCATGACTCTGTTCTTTTTCAGGGCTACTACCTCCCAAGCTCTTGTTCCCAAGACTACTCTTCTATTGTTTGAGAATGTTTATGACGCTAAGATTTGTTTCTCCAAGCCCTCACTGATTTATATTGGTGCTAGCACAAACAAAGGCTAGGAATTGGCTAACTTAATGGTAAATAATTTGGTGTTCCTATTAGAGATGAAATACTCAAAAAAGACGTGGAACTCATTTATCGATTACATTTGATCCAAAATTCTAATTGAAAGGCAACTTCTGATTCAGAGGAAATCAGCTCACACTCATAAACTCAGTGTTTTCTACTGGCCCAAAACATTATTTCTCTCTTTTGGGTTCCTCGTAGAGTGATTTTAAAAAGTGAATGTACAAGAAAGAATTTATTCTGAACTGGTAAAGGTGTGGGAAGAAGCTTGATGTTAATTAGTTGAAGTGTATTGGCAGACTTAAAGGATGTTGTAGGCATTGAGATCAAATATCTTAAGCAAATGAAAATTGCTTTGTTAGGAAGGCGGATTTGGAAATCAATTAATACCTATTTTATTTTTATTTTTTGTAAGAAAGAAGATAAGAGATAAGTACTTCACAAAATCAACCACAGCTAAGGTTTTGCCTATACAAGATTTCTAATTGTTCCAGTCTTATGAAAGATGTTAAAAATGTTGTTGGGCTTTTCTTAAATAACTTTAAAGCCTGAATCTAATCATGAATGTAAATCTAGGCTTCATATAAACTAAATCTAACCTTGAATGTGAATCCAAATATATGATAGAAATTGAATCTATTCTAGACTGTGAATATGCACTTTTCATCAAAATTCTTGAATATGAACCTGCGTTTTTAAAAAATATTGAATATATTGCAAAATGTTTTGTTGAGGAACTCATATCGAATGGAGAAGATTATTCAATTGCACAAAATAATTTAAACCCTGATGCAAAGTTTATTTAAATTACTTTCACCAATCAAAATGGAATTGATTTAATTTTTGGAATTTTAGTTTCATAGCATAAAAATTCAATGAATTTAATTAAAATTAAGGCTATAAATGAAACTACAACTTTAGAGATCAAACACGGAAAAAAAAAAAAAAAAACATAAATCTTTGTCTCTAGGGTCACATATTGGCGTTCCAACATTTGCGTTATTTCAATTTCATATCATTTATCTGATATGGAATTAATTGACTAATTTGAATGAAGGGATTCACATTAATTAAATATGTCAAGTATAAGTTTCTTGCTAATGTAAATAAGAGATAAGTGGAAATAAAGTAATGGCACTTTCTAAATCCCAAAAAAATTCTTATAAGAGCCTCTAAGGAATTACCTACAAGAAATGCAGGGCCAAAAAAACTTTTGCAACCTATTGAACCTAACACTTACAAACTAAAACTCTAAGAAGTATTGGTACATATCCCCTCTTCAATGTATTTGATTTATCTATATTTCATAAACCTGTTTCCAGCACATTGGATTCTCCCTCTTTCCCTCCCCCTCCTTATAAAAAATTCATGTCCAATACCATAACAGATGAATCAAAACTCATATTGATCCAAAAATAAATTTATATGTAAGGATTGTGCCAAGCTTTTGCTAATTTATGAAGTAGTAACCTGCAAATTGGGATTTTTATGTTTGCAGCTTGCATCTCATCCTAAGTTACAGTAAAAATCCTAAATCTTTGACCATCTTACATCAATATTAAAGTAAATTTTTATCTTTATACATATTCTGCAAAGCTAAATCAAACTTTACTTTAGGGTTGATGAACTTATATAATTTATGACTTTGCTTTATATATACTCTTTCCACCCTAAAAAATCCATCTTCAAAGCTCTACTAAAAAAATCTCAAAATATCACTTTCAATGTTTTCTTTGATCTCTTCATCTTTAACTAAGATCAATTCTGATGCAATCATGATTTTTGTATTTTTATTATCAAGCATTGAACATTAGTTTTTAATTTAGTTTTATATTTTTTTAGCTATCCAATGATTATGGTAGGTTGTGCTTGGGCTTTGGTAGACCTTTAGTTTGCTAGCTTGTTGGGTCCCTTGGGCTGCTGCTAGTTCTTAGGTTGGCTTATGGTTCTCGGTTTGAGCTGAAGATGATGTTGGGAAGTGGTGGTTAATTGATGTTTAGCTTTATTCCCTAAGTTGTTTGCTCACTAATGTTGAGCTGAAGTTTAGCTCATTAAATGGGAGATTTATTGCACTTCCTAGCTCATCAATCCAAAAAGGTATGCTATTAATTATTGGATTCAATTTGGAGTGGACTTACCTCTTCTCCTCCCCATGGTCATGGTAGCTTTATTCCCTAAGTTGTTAGCTCATTATAGTTTTGCCCATCGTTCTCCTTATCTGGCTTCTTCCATCTAGTTTGCTTGCATCAAGTTTGGTATCAGAGCAAGTTCTTATCCTTGGTTGGTGTGATTTTTGTTGGCTTCTTGTCTTTGTTTGGTGGATCTTTTCTAATTTCTAAGATGGCTAATAATCCGGGAGATTAGCAAAATCTTATGCAACAACTGAATAATTTGTAACAACAAATCAATATCATGGCTAAAGCAATTGAAAATTTGAATGTTAATAATGTTAATCCTAATGTGCAAAATTCTAAAAGTGAAGAGGAGGTTCCTAAAAATCAAAACAGGCAACAAAGAAATTGGGATCATTGAATTAAAATTGATGTTCCTAACTTTGAGGGAAAACTTCAACCCGATCAATTCCTTGAGTGGATAGAAAAGATGGATCAGTTTTTTTGAGTGGAAAGAAATACCTGATAATAGGAAGGTTGGCTTTGCTAGCCTAAAACTTTATGGTCATGCCTTAACTTGGTGGAAATTTTTTCAAAAGAATAGACTTAGGAGAGGAAAAGAAAAAGTCCAAAACTGGGAAAGAATGAAGGAAAAAATGAAAGGGAAATTCTTGCCAACTGATCATGCTCGAACAATATTTCAAGAATTTAATAACTTGCGACAAGGAAATCAATTTGTTGAAGAATACACCGAAATGTTTTACAAACTTCAATCCATAAATGATTTAAATGAATCTGAAGAGAAAACTGTTTCAAAATACATCAATGGCTTAAAATGGTCAATCCAAGATCAACTTAACTTGCATCATCTCATTAAAACTGACGAAGCTTATCGTATGACACTAAAATTTGAAAAGCAACATCAACGGAAAAGGGATCACAATAAAGTAATGGAAACATATAAACGACGACCAACTGGCTGGGTTAAAACTCAATCTCAAGCTTCTGGGGGAACATCTGGTGTGAAAGTTAAAACTTTTGAAAATCAAAATGCAGATAAAGGAAAGGGAATAATGGGTGCTAAACCTACTGATCAACCTAAATTAATTGGACCATGATATAAATACGGGCTTTATGGTCATCTTTCTGCCACTTGTAGGAAGAACAATCCTCCAAGAAATAATCTCATTAAAAACGATGAAAACTTGGAAGAAGAAGAAGTAAATGAATCTGAATCTAAAAATGACATTGAATTAGAAAAGGTTGATGTTGAAGGAGATGAAGGTGAAAAGTTTTTGGTAATTCGACAAGTCTTAACAACAAAAATTGACAAATGGGATAGGTGGCTAAGAAGAAACATATTCAAAACAACTTGCACGATCGAAGGAAAAATCTGCACTCTTATGATAGATAGTGGGAGTTCTGAAAATTTTGTTTCTCCAAAACTGGTTGACAAACTTAAAATAAAGTCAACACCACTTGCCAAATCCTATAAAATCTCTTGGTTTAAGGAAGGGGTGAGGTTCTAATCACTAAGCAAAGTACTGTCAATTTATCTATTGGGGGTTCTTTCAAAGATCAAGTTGTTTGTGATGTTGTGCCTCTTGAAGTTTGTCATATTTTGTTAGGACGACCTTGGCAATACGACCACAAAACTATTCACAATTGAGAGAAAAATACATATACTTTGTTGCAAAATAATGAGTTTACTCTTCATCCACATAAAAATGTGCCTGATTCGCCTGTTAAGAAAAACTTGGTTGCCAAAATTAATTCTCCTGAACTGCTTTTAAATACTAATGATTTGAAACATTCTGAATTTGCTTATTTGGTTTTGGGAAAAGAATTTGATACTGCTTTTCAAATCCCTAAAGAAATGCAAGCTTTAATTGATGAGTTTTCTGACCTAACTCCTGATGAATTACCAATATGATTGCCTCCAATTCAAAAAATTCAACATCATATTGATTTAATTCCTGGAGCTACTTTGCCTAACCTTCCTCATTACAGAATGAGTCCATCTGAGCATGCTGAACTTTTTAAGCAAGTGACTGATTTGTTTAAAAAAGGTTTGATTCAAAAAAGTTTAAGTCCATGTGCTGTGCTTAGTCAAGAGGGAAAACCTGTTGCTTACTTTAATGAAAAATTGAATGAAACTAGATCCAAATATTCTACTTATGATTTGGAGTTTTAT